TTCAGGACTATATATTTCAGTATATTACAGTAGGTTGGAGGCCATCCCTAGTAGGTTGGAGGTCATCGCTAGCAGTAGGTTGGAGGCCATCGCTAGTAGGGTGGAGGCCATCGCCAGTGGCTTGGAGCCCATGCTAGTAGCTTGGATCCCATCGCTAGTAGGTTGGAGGCCATCGCTAGTAGGGTTGGAGGCTATTGTCAACTGCAGAAGGAATCCACCGGCCTGGGTACCACATCTTCACCCCGCACCTCACATCAACAAGCAGCCCTTCACCCCACACATTTAGAAAGCGATCACGCTTTCGCAACTGAGCAGTTTGTCTCATAACATCCTTGATCGTCTGTCTAGAAATATCATCCGTGTCGGCGATGAGAACCAGCAGTCTTGATGATATAGAGTTCAAAAAACTTAGGCTGCAGTATAAATATTCTTTGGTTGTCAAGGGACGTGATAAGGGATTGAGTTCCAGACCTCCATAGCAATGCAGGTTCCAGAGGCCAGCTCCGTGATCATCGCTGCATACTGGGCCTCAAACTATGAAGTAGACTAGACAGCATGTCCCTGCTCAAAAGTATGGAGTCCACGAATCACCGGATCTAGCTCCTGCTTGCACGTTCATCAATACAACTTTGCTCACCACTTGGCTACTACACAAACTTTGTCAATCAGACAGACTTCATACATAGACACCTTTACGGCTCATCCTCCGAGCTTCAAACGCTGGGCAGGACTGTCTTGTAGACCTTTCCACGGGTGATTTATTGGTGAGATCAGCTCCTACAGTCACTACCGTTCATATAGGACATATATATATATACCTTAATTACCAACCAAAGGCTTTGACCCTCACGAAGCTTAATGTTAAATCGCCTCATTGATTCAAACTTGCGAATCCGAGAACATTGCAAAGACCAAGCTGCCTCAGAGTGTTCCTCCTGGGGCATTACAGCTGGGTCAAATACCCTTTATATACTGTAACAGGTACAAACATATGCCTGTAATTTGTTGGGAAACCACATCTTTGGCGAAGCCTCAGCATCAAAACACAAAACCCAACAACCCCATATACGAGGGCACTACCGTCCTGCCTCATAGAAGTTCTCTGCCTGGCTCTTCAGCAGCACGAAGCTCTGCAATGCAGATATCTGAAGCCTGAAATAAGAACGATAAGCGGGCCTTTGAGCTTCGCAAATTCAATGATCTAGAACAAAACCAGGACCCCTTCTTCACTTGTCTTCACTTCATATTCTTTAGAATTTGTGGTATGTGTCTATGTGGTCGGTAGAGTGGAGAAACAAAAGCAATTCGCCTTGAACCCAGTCAGGAGACTCACTTTAAAGGTAAAAGGCCTCATGTGTTTTCAAGGTCCATTTGGTGCGGACTTGACAAAGTTTTTGCTTGTTTTTTTTGCACGCCTTTTTCCGGCCAAGTGCCTAGGTGAACCAGTTCCTAGGGTCTTGTGACCCTTGGTGGATGCATCGACGGTTGAGCTTGGTGTTCAGCTCGATCTTGTCATCTCGAATCCTGGCCGTTCCACCGCATCGTGTGCAGCGGGCTGTGTTGCCCTTGCAAGACATCGTGTGGGAAGGATGTCCGCTCCATAAGGATGGCTCAAGAGGGCCAACCAAACATGGGCTGCCAACGAAGTGACTGAAGGCATCCTCATTGCACCTAGCCAAGATGTAGTTGGCGCATTCCGTGCAGCGAAGGTAAGCTTTGTCAAGCTTCAAGTGATGCACTCCCTGTTGAACCCCTGTCTGGGCACCTATCAGCTCGTCAATCACCTGGAAACGGGTCTTGCGGGCTGGAGAAGGGACCACCGCCAAGTCACAGGTGGAATCCAAAGCGCCTCGAAGTTCAGCAATCAGGCTTTTGCCATGAAACCTCTGTTTGCATTGGCCGCAGCGGACACCCGTGCGGTATGGCTGCCAGGAATGACCTCCCATGTCAGGCCGGTTTTCCAGCTGCTGCAAGATGGACTTCTTCTGCTGTGCCAAGGGGACTTTGTGAGGAGCGTCCTCCTGTTTGCCCTGATGCGTGAAGTGGGACTTATCCTTGAGGAGGATGTTCATCCTGGTGGCTGCCACACTGAGGACATCCCTCGTGTCTTCGTCGATGCGCCGCCGCAAGTCCATGATCTCCTCGTTGCGAGACTCCTTTGCAAAAGCCTTGGCCAGCTTGTTGGCATCATCTTGACGGGCCTTCCGGTTGACATTGGAATCTTGCTCCTTCTTGCCAAAGAGGAGGGGACGGACTTGGGCAAAATCCTCCGGATCCAGACCTTGATAGAGGTCAGGAAACTGCTCATAAGCCGCCGAGGGCTGCCATGCCTTCCAAACTCCATGGTCGAAGATGGCCACATTCACCTTCTCCTTGCTGGGCCAAGTGTTTGAGCCCGTAGAAGAGAGCTCGGCTTCGAGTGGCCTGACCAGGGCAAATGCCCTTGAGAGCAGCAACCCTCCGCTTGGAGAAGACCTGGCGCGTGCAGAGCACAAACACGAAACGCTTGTGGCGGGTGTCGGCACGTAGGAGCCACCGCCAGGGAGATGGCATGCCCTGCAGGAATGTCAATGCCCCCTTCCTGGATGTAGAAGATGGACTGCACCATGCCTCGTTGCCACAGTTCCGGCTCCGTGCCAGCTGCCAAACGCTGCTTCCACTGGTCTCAAATGTCCTTGACCTTGCCATTCCAAAACCTGCATTGCCAAAGAAGGTGCACCACAGAGGGGGCAGTGACCCTGTTGCCCGCGCAGTGTGCCTTGATGAAGGGCTCGAAGTGCAGGGCCATTGTGAGCTTCCGACATCTTCTGCAGGGTCAGACTGACTTGCCAGTCCAATGGCCTCTCCAGATCGTGGCAGCCCTCATACTTGGTCAGACGTAGAAGGCGTTGCCAGCGGAATTCAGTCTGCAGCTGGTGATTGAGCTCTGGCCAGCAAGTGTCAAGCTTGAGCACACAATCAGGGATGCCTCCATAGCCTGTCCTCTTCCAAGCTTTGCCATCAGAAAGATCGAAGTCATAGTCCAGAAGGTATGCTTGGAGAGCTTGCAGGGGGCCACTCACGACCTGCCATCGGTATCTCACTTTCTGCAGGGCACCAAGCGCTACATGCCAGCTGGTCCAGAAAAGGTGCTGCGTGCTTTCGTCAAAGGAGTGATAGACTTTCCACAGCGAATGAAGATGTTGCTGGATGATGGAGTCACCAGGGTCTGCATGTTGAGGATGCATATCGAAGACCACATCAACGGATCCAGACTGCTGCAATTGGAGACTGCGAGCCGCCATCACACGGATGTACTGCCTCCTTTGCGGGGCGAGTCCGCTCGCCTGTGCCCCCCACGACATCACTGGGTGGATGGCGCTTTTGTGGATGCGGTGACCAATGTTGCGGTGCAGTTTCAATCTCTGTAGGATACCTGCCCGTCCTTGACCCTTGAGCAGCCTCTTCTTGACCTGGGTGATCCTGCGGTGTCGTCCAGCTGTGGCATCTACCCCTAAGTCCCGGAGGACATTGTGGCGCTGAGGATCCTGCTCTGTGAGACGAAATGAAGCCGGTTTTGTCGGCGTTGACTTTAAGGCCCGCTGCAGTGAGGAGGTCCTTGAGAGACCTGTAAGGCAAGATGGCCTCCCGTGCAACACAGTCCGGATCAGTGCCAGAGACATCATAGGAGACATCATCAACCCAAGTCTGGAGAGCCACCGCCGGATGAGCTCGCTGCAGTTCTTTGAGTAGGCGGTAAAGGATGAGCTTGCTGATGGCAGGAGCTTGCGGGCAGCCTTGCAGAATGCCATGAGAGTAGTACTTGGGGTCCCCAGCAATGCCTTCTGCCTGGATCAGGCGTGGACCGGAGTACAGGTCGAGTGCCAACTTGAGGTGCACCGGTGGGTAGTTGAGCTCGGCCGCAGGTGCCAAGATGCTATCCAAGTTGACCGTGTCGTAGAAACAAGACAAGTAGGCGAAGCATGTGACTGTGTGCACGCCTTGATGCTTGCGAATCTCAGACTTGAGCGTGCGGCCAACCGCTATGGATAAACAGTCTCGTTTGGGCCGAGCCTGATCCCAAGGTAGGTCGTCATCCAAGGTCATCTGCCAGCGTTGAATGTCATGCTTCCTGTAGGAATTCCATACCCGATAGAGGCAGGACGTCAGGGCAATGGGTTGGCACTCTTGGGAATGAGGACGACGTTGGTGTACCTCAATTGGGGAGGCAGAAGTGCCTCCCTCTGCAGGTCTCCCAAGCGCTTCACTGCCGGATACAGCAAGTGCCTCATCACGTCATAGGAGATGCCGTCTGGGCCCGCCGCCTTGTTGGGAAGTCTGCGCAACAGCTTCTGCAACACCGAGGAGTCGAAGGGCTTCCACGTGAGAGCCTCTTGCTGAGCCAAATCCCGAAGCTGGTCAAAGCCTCTCTAATTTGGACTGGAGCCGGGAGAGGATGCCAGATGGCGCCCCATTGTTGCTCTCGCGCAGTGATGCGCTCAAGTGCAGGTAAATCTTGGAAAGGGCGTTCCCACGCCTGGTCCCGCTGGCGAAGACTCCGAAAAAGGCCTCTCAGCCCTTTTTGGTGGGCAGTCTTGAGCCATTCCTGGAATTCCAGACTGGTGAATTGGAAGGCCTGCTTTTGAGCGATGCGCTCCTGCTCCAGGATTCGTGCCCGGATTGCTCCCGGATCAGAGGCAGGGTCATTGAGCCACTGTCCAACCAAGGCTAAGAAAACATCAGCCGCAAAGTCATCAGAGCAGAACTGTGGAACATCCTGAAGCATGTGTCGGACATCTTGAATGACTCCTCGATGACCTGAATGATGGATCACATTGAGTCGAACATTGAGCTTCTCCCAAAAAGCCACAGTGCCCCGAAGCCACTTCCTGGAGGTGGAAGCATCAACCAGGGGAGCCTTAGACAGCTTGGGTGGGACGATGAAGCGTTTGAGTGGTACTTCTCGGTCTGAGTGGCCCATCTGGCAAGATCAGAGCCCAGGCCCGTGATGAGGTCATTCATGATGTAGAAGGGCCCGGTGTCCTCAGGAAAGCTGGTCCATTGATGTGGCAGCTGAAAAGTACGGCCAATGGGAGGGAACCTCTGCAGTTGTTGCACAGCCTGGGCAGGTTGTTCACACTCCAAAAGCACTTGCAGTGCACAGTGAGGTCGCCACGGCGCATCCCAACAAGCCTCCAATCGAACAGAGCCCTGGAGAACGTTGGAGACCAAAAGGAAGTCGAGCTGACTGCCCTGCAGTGTAGTGGGGCCCCCGGTGTCAACTGTGGGCCTTGAACTTGTATTGAATCACAGTAGCGGCCAACTCCGCGGGCTCACTTTGCCAGTCGCCCCCAATGATGAAAGGAGCCCCCAGGTGGTGGAGGAAGGCCATCAGGTGGCTAAGGATGAGGGACTGCAGGGTCTCTCCAGTCTTGAGGTAGATCTGAATCAGGAAGATCATGAGACCATCCCGTTGGAGCCCGATGGCCATCCAGCCATTGCCCTCGTGGAGGAATTCAGCAGCTTGGTGAGTCAGGTGCTTGGTGGAATGCAGGACGAGGAAACCACCTGAAGTGCCCCCTTGACAAGCTGCGTGGCCGTAAGCCTTCCAGCCACGATTGGAGTAGTACTGTAAGGCCCTGGTGGTGGCTGCGGCGGACAAGTGTGTCTCATGAAGAAGAAGCAAAGCATCATTCCGGGACCACGTCCAGTCTTGAACCTTGGCCCCAAATTGTGTGACATTGCCAAAGAGGAGTGAGAGTCTCCTGAGCACGCCTGGCTTTCTTGGCTGGCGGCCCTGTGTGGGCGGCCTGAGTGTCTTCAACCAGTGTGTCAGGCGATTCTTTGACTAACCATAGCTGGAGAACCTCCTGTCTGTGTTGGCGGGAGAGCTGCTCAATGGGAGTCGGGCGCTGACCGTCATCCGCCAGCCAAACCGCATTGTCCATCAAAAGCAGGGATTGGTAGTGCCCAGTGTGATGGTCCCACCCTTGATGAGTGACCAGGGCGACAATCCGGTAGGAAGCCATGAGGACGTGGCGCCCATCTTCAGAGAAGGGAATGTTGACATCCTTGTCAAAGTCAAGGGCTCGTGCGTGCTTCGTCCAAGTGCCCTCAACCAGCTAAACGTTCAAGCTGGAGAACCAGGGCATCCGGCGCCCCATAGAGAAATTGGCCCTCTTCTTCATCCGCCCAACTAGAAATAAGCTCATCCAACGAGATGGAGGCCTCACCAAGCGGAAAAAGGAGGTTCAACGGCATCTGCTCCCTCACCTCCAACGATCCATTGAGCTTCCTGTGGAAGAACTTACCTCCAAAGAAGGAGGATTCAGCCTGAGCCCATAAGAACCCGACAAAGTCCGCGGCATCAGCTTGATGACCTGGTGGGAAATGGTCCCAAATACTTTGCAAGTCCAGATCTCCGGACAGAAGTTGTCCCTGAGATGCAGACAAACATCGACGAACCGCGTACTGAGTGTGGCTCCACGCCTTAGCAGAGTCTTCCGCAAAGGCGCCACTCCAGCACCAGCACCGAAAAGGCGCATTCCCAAAACAGAGGTTCTGGCCATCAGGGTTGTCCAAGATGGTGGTGAGAACCTGTGAGATCACGTAGACATTGGCCAAAGGCGGCCGGAAGGCGCCAGGGAGGCTAAGATGTTGATGCACAATGTTCTGCATACGTCGCAAGTCAGCCAAAACTAATTGCCCGTGGTGAGGCAAACCAGTCAGCCGATATTGTTGGCTGGAAGTCATCTGAATGGCACAAATCATAGTAGCAGATCTGAGCGGAGTTGAGGTCAGAAGGGTTGTCCTCCTCCATAGCCTCAACAAGCACCTGGGCGAGTGAAGAAGGAGGAGAGGTCCTGGGTCCGCTCTGAGGTAGAAGAACTCAGTGCCTCTCCCTCCCCACTCCCCTCAAGTGCAACGGCCTGGAGGCCACCCCCAAAAACTTTCAAAGAAGGTCGTCGCCGCTGTGGCCCATAGCCCTCCAAACCCCGCGGAGAGGCTGAACTTGAGCCTGAAGCAGCCAAAGAGTGAGGGTGATTGTGAAGAGCCCCACAATCAAAAGAGAAAACCCCTGCACGCTGATCACAACACGACGAAAGCCCCTCATGAGGTGTGACTGCCCTGTCAAGCACAAGTGAAGTGTTACCCGCAAGACTGGATTTCCGCGGACTCCGTCTTGCGTCGCTTGGCTTCTTCATCCGATGAGGTGGGCGGTCTTTTCAGCATGCTCTGAAGTTGGTTGCGCTGTTCCTCAGTCAAACTAACACCAAGGGTGTTGATAAACCCGGCCACAGCAGCAGGCACAGGATCACCTGCTTCCGCCTCCGGCAAAACGTCCAAATCAGCCTTTGCTGAGTTGACCAAAGTCATGTACGAAGCACTTGTGGCTGTCAGAGCTTGTTGTTCGGCCTCAATCCTCCCTTGGATGGCCTTCATCTCATCCAACAAATCCTGATAGGACCGCTTCGTGGAGTCGATCTTCTGCTGAAGATGAGTCTTCTTGTGGGAGAGGTCCTTCAGGAGGGAGACCTGGGTCTTGAGCTTGGACGCTATGTCCTTTTCCGTGGGTGGAGAGGGCTACGTCAGTTTCTCCACGAGCTCCCGAACCTGTGGTGGTAACTGCGCCATGTTCTCCACCAGGACATCTTTCAAGTCCGGACCCGGGTTGGGCGGCGGAGGCTGAATGCCGAGGTCCTGAAGGCGCTGTTGTGGGGCCTTGGTCTAACGAGGACCAGGCAGGCGCCAAGACTTCAGCTGTGGCCTTCTGGATCTTAGTCACCTTGTAGGGCTTGGTGCCAAGGCCTGGAGGAGGTTTGACTGGCATCTGCTGTCGTCCTGTCCTTTTCGGTGATCTAGAGGTGGGTGCCTTGGAGAACCCCTGCGGGGGACGAGACCACTTCTCACCACAGCGCCTGCATAGGTAGCCCTCCCTGATCTTGTCAGACCAGATCCAGTTAGAGCATCGATCGCCTCCGCATACTGTGCAAGCTCTGCAGTAGCTGTTGCCTCCTGCCATCATGAGATCACCGTGTCGAGCGTGTTCAGGCCAAAGAGCTCGACAGAGGAGTGGTGATCGTGTAGTCCACGACCCTCTGTGGCTGGTGTCCACAGAGCTTGAGGCTAAACAGCTTGAGCCAGTTTTTGCTTGTTATATATATATATAGTGTTATATATAAGTGTGTTCAACAATCACTGTCAGGCCGCCTGCGGATTGAATCAACAAGTCCACTTTTGTTGGCAGGTGTGGGACGGTCAATTATCACACCCCTTTGAACTTATAATAAGAGGTTCCAGGTCTACCCGTGTACAATTCTAGGGGGAAAGGGTTGATATGAGTTGGAGCTTCAAGAATCCAACTTTTGTCTGGCCAGTATAGTGCTTTGATGAGCTATCTTCCGCCCATCTGCCTGCGATCTTTCCAAGTCCCTGGCGCTGCTTCCATGACGGCAGAGATGACTGCGCCAGCCTATTTCACATGGTTTACCAACCGAGCCAAAACATTGGTACACTAACCCATGAAAAAGGGAAGATTTGCTGAAACTTCAAATGAAGTAAGCACTCACTGCCAAAAGAAGTTGAACTCCCATCTTCAAAAACCAGTGTGTTATCTCACGGTACAAGCGGGAGCACCTTCCCCTCTCGTACTGCGTGGGGCCTGGTGCGACGCCGGAGGAACAGCTTGCTCAAATCCAGGTACAAATACAAGTGCTTCATGGGTCGATCTAATGAGCATCAGGGGAACTTTGTAGTGCAGTGTACACTGCTTTGAAAGATCCACTTTACAAACATGCCCAGCTGGCCTGATGATGCACAGGGAGCATCCCTCAAAGGTGGCTGATGATTCCTTTCTGGCAAATACCTGAGGACAGTCATCATGGGCCCGAAAAATCAACACACGAGTGTTCTAGATCAACTTCTTGAGTAAGTAAAATGCAAAAGAGTATATACTGGGGTCTGATGACTCAGGACTTTTGCCTTGAAAGTGACTTGGGCCTTGTGGCCTTTCATTTCAAAACAACTATGTCATGGTGTTCTCATTACTCCAGACATGCCCCCAATTGGTCTAATGAGATAGGACTTGTGGAAGGTCAACGAGCAAAACAAAAAACATGAATGGCCGGCCTGCGCACAAGATCATGACATGACTTAGGCCGTTCTTTTCAACATGTCCTGAAGTTGTCGAACATATTCTCAGAAAGAAACGGTGTTAATATATATATATAAGTACACAAAACTAACGTTCCATTCTCGTCCCCGCTTTCTCTCCTGATTAATCCCGAGTGCCCAGTAAAATACAGACCTATTTTAAAGAAGAGTCGTGTCGGAAGCCCCTAAATACCGCTTATACTTGTTTTTAAGTTACCGCCCTTTCAAGCTGCTACTGAACTACCAACATTGCCGACTTTGGAGGAGTTTTTTAAATTAGGTTCCAAAAACAACCGCAACTGCCCACCTCTGCCCGCCCTGTCTATCCACCATGACACGCCGCGCTTACACCAGCAGGCTTTCCTTCCCCCAATGGCACGGACTCACGCAAACGCACTTGCCACCGAGGTCATGCAAAACCGCATGGCACAGCGACATCACCTTGCGAAAGCTTTAGCTGTTAGTCTACTGAAGAATCACTATTCTAATAAAGGTTTTTGTAGGGGAAAAGGAAGACCCTTCGATCTGGAGGTTTTTTGAACTTTTGATACGTGTTTAAAAATTATATGAAGTTTTCCTGGGTTACTTTTTGGTTTTGAAGCTCTTCCCAGGTGACCCTATTTTGGACCCCCCGATTTCAGGGCCCCGTATTTAAAAAAATGCAACCGAGGTTTCCTTATTAGGGAGGGGCCGTGTTTTTTAATAGGTGGATGGGATTAAGTAGTTTAAAAGAATTTAATGAAGATGCGTGATTTTCTTCAATTTCCTTGAACATTTAACAAATATGTATGTCTGTATATTTAGTTATATTCTATATATATATATGTGTGTAACAACCTTTACCTTTAGCTCACACATACATGACTGCTTGTTCCCTGCTGTTTCTTTCTCCTTTGGGGTTTGCCCTGTGTCTCTTTGTCTATTCCATTAACGAGGGAGACACCAGTGAGTTTCGTAAAGGCTGAGAGGTTCCACCAGTGTCTCCCGGGGAGACCGAGGACGGACTCTGTACATCGGACCGGACTTTCGGATCAGTCCGAAACACGTCCTAACTCGTGTCCTTGCTCCTAGTAGCCCCTAGTAGCGTCCTTGCTCCTAGCAGCGATGCCCTAAACATGATAAAACAGGCACTAGTCCTCATGGTGGGCCGGCTGGGCTGTATTTCTGTGGTTTTCCTATCCAAAACGCTCATGACCTAGGACTTATCTTGTGGATTTCTTGCCTATTCAGCTTTTGCATTATGACTCAGGACTTAGGAATTTCACCGCTAAATCCTATGTTTTTTGAAAGGTCAAGACATCCTTCATTTGGAGTGTCCTACAGAATTGTACAAAACATACAACAAACATGCAAGAAATACATCTCTATATAGTCTATATACTGCTCCAAGATTCATAACAAAAAAAGGGCTGGCTAGTCATTTACGGACAATTCGCTTAGCACAATGCCTTCTCACTTGTAGGCCCACCAAGCTCAGTTCGAATTGCCTCGGGAAAGAATTTGACTTTTGAGAGTCTTGGATTCTGGGATTGTTCAGGAGGCTCCTCTGCAAACCACACTTGGTCAAAAGGAGTCCAAAGCAGGTCCACAAGAGACCTTTGACAACGCGCAACAAAAGTCGCTCACGCAAATCACTTACTGTCTTACTGTATATAACTGACTGAACCGCCGGCTGTGCCATCTGAAACCTGCTCAATGGCCTCAGGCAAGCCAGAGTCTAAAGGTCAACGAATGGGGGGTCATAAATATGAGACTCAAATCAGCAATACCTCACTTCTCCGGGCCCATGTCCAACAAGTACCCGACACTCTACCAAAAGTAAGTCTGCATCAAGCTTGCTAGATCTCGAGTCACAGCAATGTCTAGTGTTTGTGGTCGGCGACCTTTCCCCCTGTATGTTCGACCAACTTCAGCGACAAATGCAGTCCAATCCTCATTGTGAACCACATGTAAAGCAGAGGTTCCCCTCTTGGAAAAAGCATGCTTCACTACCTCACTACTTCGCTACTTCGTTGCTCTGCTGCTTCAAATCGCCTCCTGCCAAACATCGAGTCCCTGTCCTTGGCAAGAGAAAACTCGACGGACGCAGGCGGCTTCGTTAAATCAGTTCTCATCACAGTCAGTTCACCAGCCGATATTCTGACAGTTTTGGAAGCACAGGTCAAAACCACCGTGATCTCAACTGTTGACTGGGACACCAGACCTACTAGTTCCAAATGCACTGCCATCTCTCCAGCGTCTGCAAGGGTCTTCACCTCCATCACAGCTGTCTCATGCATACTCTCCATTGATGAAGGAAATGCAGAATACATAACACAATAAAAATCAGTATCATATATAACGTATCACGTTTTAGTTACACAAGGGGTCCGCATTCGCTTGCGCGCATGTGCCCATGCCATAGGATCACAGTTCGCATGTGTAGCAGCTGGGCACCCTCTTGATCGTGAAGCCCATTTCATACGCTGCTAAGAAGAGGGTAGCCAGCTGTGTTGTCGCAGCACCGCTGATGACGGTGTAGACCTGGCATAAAAATTTGCTAGAGATGGGTGACAAGCTCAACATGTGGTAATTATATTTGAAGTAATGTGTTTATTTTGCCAAGCAGGTTCAGTTGTCAGCCGATGCCACTCAAGGTCAACTAGCCTTCTCTCCAACATTCTTCAACACTGCACCTGAGCAGAGTTCTTCTGGAACAAGGCTTCGGTGGGCTTGTCAGCGAAGGAAACGATCCTTGAAGAGCAACTGAATGCATGCAGCAGAAGTACTGGATAGGCTGCTTGTGTCCACTTGTCCACTCACAGAAATCCTTTTTGGGAGTGTTTCTCTTTCTGGTGAACTGAGTAGAGCATTATGCATTGTTGTACCACAATTTGTACATAATGTTCAGGACCATAAACAATAACTCTCATCTCCAGATGCGCTGTCATTAAAGCAACGGGCCACAACCCTTTTCATCAATCGGCTTGGATCCAGACTTCATTTTCCTTGCACACACCGTCACTTCTGCTCCCTGGGGCCACATTTGATCGACTGCAAACAGTCTTGCTTCCTCACAACCAAAAGGGTTCTGGGGCAATGGCGATAAAGAGATCTTCTAGTCTGAATGCACCATCTTGATCATACACCTGCCAAAGAAACATATGTAAGTCTGGTAATCCTGTGCGCTACTCCGAGAACTGCTGGAACATGCCATAGCTGTGCAACCAAGCCACACCCCTCTTCAGGAAGAGTCGCTTGGATTTTGTGTCATACCTCAGAGGTGGCAAGTCGTAGAACGTCCAACATTGGTTCGGCTGCTCGCAGCATTTCTGTCAAGCAAACAGGTGAATACAGATAATGTATATAAGGAAAGCACAAAGACAACTCATTGGGGTTGCCGTTGCCCTTGCTGTACACTGTGAGGAGGAATTCCTGACACAAACAAAAACATTTCAGTAAAACAAAAATAGAACTAACAGTCCAAGGGCTGCTGCACACTCCAGGTTTTCAAACAAAGAGTTGTTGTGACGCTCCTTGGTCATCTGGGACGCTTCCTCGACATGTTCACCTAGTGGAAAAAGATTGAATGCAAGGGCGAGCTTGGTTCAATAGCGAGACTCGCAAACAAATTATCAAGGTCTTATCAACGTTCTTCTCAAAAAATACTTCTGAGCCCTGTGCACACAAAATTGTACTTGTGAGCGTCAGACATGGCCTCGTGTGCACCCCCAAACCCACCAAAACGAACTCAGTTTTTCTCAAGTTGCCTTTTTTCCAACTCTTTTACAATCACCTCCAGCGGCCTCCAAGGTCAAGAAGCAGTGTGTGCTGGCAAGCAACAAAAACTGTGTCAATACATGTTTCTAGGATTGGGGGTGTTGGGTGTGGGATGGTTTTGGCGCGCATGAAATTTATGAATTTCAAGACAACTGCTTGATCCGATATTCTGTTCACCAAGCACATCCGGTGCAAACCGTGTTCACAGGTGAAACCAGTTCGCTTACATTTCAACAATATGTGAAGAATTGCACAAGTGCAAACATGACATGAAACCCTAACACATACAGAACTTCAAACACAAAAACAACTTTGCACGCAATTTCGTTAAGACATGTTTGCAGAAGTAGACAGTTTCTGCAATCAATATCTTAGAATTACCATGGTCACGGAGGTCTTTGACATCTTTTTGCAAAGTTTGACACCTGTGGTGTGGTTTTACCAACCGGAGGCGAAAACAATTTGTGTTGTTTGCACATTGTAAGCAGTGCTGTCTTCGAGTTTTGTCATGTTGAAACAAGTTGCGCACCGTTTTCCTTTGCGCCTGCAGTAGCGAGTGGACCCAAATGCCATGCACGCAAAGTCCACAGTTTCTCTCATGCGAATGCTTCGATCTTCTCGCACTTCCTTCTGTTCTGCCACTGCTACATCTAGCTGCATTTCCCCAAACAGTGTGGACACAATAGGGGTTCTCACGGTGAGGGAGAAGCAGCTGATGCTCAGATCGCTGAAGCGCGGGCGTGACCAGCTAATTCGCTACTATTTACTGTACGTTCATGCCTCTCGAAGTCGTTGACATGCATTTGGACTGCGCCGGCTCGCAAAGTCTGGGCTAGGTGGCCGCGGCGGGTGCTTGTCGCAACTGCACTCTCGTTATGGTGCCGTGCGCATTTTCGGACATGGTGGTCACTTTTTGGCAGATCGGAGCGATTTTACTTCGAAGTGCAGATCCAGCACTTTGGACATGGTGGTCATCTTCGAGGCGCTCTAATTTCGTGACAGGGGCAGTGAACTGTACGCGGCTCGTTTGCAGATTCGTGGCAGGTGCAGCAATGGTGACCCTCGATGTGCAGATTTCGTGGCAGGCACAGCACTTTGTGAACCTCGATGCGCAGATTTCGTGGCAGGGACAGCACTTTGTGACCCTCGAAGTGCAGATTTCGTGGCAGACGCAGCACTTTGTAAACCTCGAAGTGCAGATTTCGTGGCAGGCATAGCACTTTGTGAACTCATTTTTTGCATGCGTGCGGCTGCCAGTAATCGCAAAAGAATGCGAAGGTCAGCTAATGTGGAGATTGAAGATTTCCCAGGGCCAATCACCAAACTCAAACAGAAAACAAGGCAACCAAACACCGAAACGCCCAAAACAAAACACAAACCAAAAACCAAAAGGAACACAACAGGCACCGGTCAGCCCAGGAAAGTGGTATTTGTCACCTTGCATTGAGATGAATGCAGTGTGAAACAAAAGCTGGGCGTGGATGAAATGCTAAGGAACTCCGCCTTCGAGAAATGGTCTCAAGCTCCTTGCTCAGGTTGGTTGGCTGGACGCTTTGCTTGTCTTCAAGTCTCCACCAATCATATTCTCGTCGTTGTAGGAGTGTTTCCTCATCAACCTGGCAAATACTCACCATCTCAATCTTTGCTTTCAGATGGATGCTGTTGTTTTCCATGTGCGGTGGAATCAAGGTCTCAGTCTTTGGGTTCCTCAGGCACAGGCCACACTCTTTGTGGTCAATGGTCCAGCCTCGAGAAGGAACTTGCCTGCACACAACAATGGTTGCTTGACCTGACCAAGTGCAAACTGTTTGTGAATCTCAATCAGATATCCATCTGCCCTTCGAACTAGGAGTTTTGCCTTTGTCACTCCAGCTGAGGCAATGATCTTGCCCTGAGCGTCAATCATCTTGACCTTCTTGTTCTCATCCAACTCACCAACGTTGGCACGTCCCTGGCTAATGGTCAGAACTGAAATGTCAGCTCCTGAGTCCAGGGTGATGGAGACCATCTGCGAATCCTCTGATTGCACCATCCTCACGTGGAATCTTCCTCATCTTTCTTCTTCTCAAGCTCCAAAATGTGATGGATAGAGCGGTCACTCCACAGACATGCATGGCCCTGGTGAAACAGGTGAAACCAAAAATATTTCCTAGCGTGGTATGTGCCATCTTTGTTTTTTTTGCACGGGTCGAGGCGCTGTGTGTGCAGAGGATGCACAAGTCACCTTAGGCTAGTAAATGGGGGAGATACGAACCAAGCAGCAAAACCAGCATGGTATGTGCCATCTTTGCACAAGATTGGCTGAGTGCAGAGACTTCCACAGACGAAGAACTGAGGTTCTCACCTGGGTGCCAATCGTCACTGTTCCACCGCCGCGCGCCAATCACAGACCAGGAGCTGAGGCTCACAGCCAGGTCGGCTCAAACAACAGGATGTGGAGACGAAATTGGCAAGCAGCTGATCCACACTGATTGGCCAGCGGTGCAGGTCAGGCCTATGCTCAACTGGCACAGTACTGTGGCATGTTGTGGGCGCGGAAGCAGAGCCAACCCTAGTTGGCGGCCTGCACCATTTCGCCAGCAGTCCAGTTGCTGTCAGTCCCCATGTTTTGGCATGCTGATAACAACCATGACCCATGGGCGCCTTTCGACCATGTTGTTGATGTTGACATGGTAGATAATGACCTGGACATCATGGATTTTTCAGATGATGAGCATGTCCGTACTGCTTCTTGCACAGTGGTGGAAATGACCACGAGCGTGGCCAAATATGATGGACTGGAGGACCTAGAAGACCATGTTGTTGACCACCCAGCCTCAAGGTCTTTGGATGCACAGTGGATTTCTTGTACCCCAACACGCACACCTACCTCGACGACCCAACATGGGAGGTCCACTCTGGGGTCGACATGGGACGGTCCACTTCCGTCTTTCTCTTTTGTCTTGCCATGGATCCGGTCTTCGTCGCATTGAATCAAGTACCACGAGTCCTTCTAGTTGCGGGATACGTTGATGATACCACTATTGTTGGTATGCAAAGAGAGCCTGGTTGGATCAAAGAAGTATTCAAACTCATTGATTCATGGGCCACCGCTGGAGTCATCATGGACTCACACAAATGTTGGAGAACTCCACTACCTGAACAACAGCTACTGCGCTTTGTTGACTATGCCAATGACTTTATCCCACGGCACGATCAAGGAGACGCTACGATCTCGGCAGCAATTCGCCGCATTCCCCCGTATGCGCGATACTTCGTGCTACGGCATGGTGAGCACTGTGCCTTGTTTCATACCTGTCAGATTCACGATGGCTACGCATTGGACATCCCCTCCTTTTTCAGCTTGCAGCTAGTCCCTGCGACTGTCGATCAAAAACGCAACTCCTAACTTGTGCCTTCTCTGCCCCGCAATTCTGTCAAGTTGACTGCGCTGGACTCGGAGGGCAATGCATCGTACTGTCCACGGTCAATCTAGGCCTCACCATCCATGCAGGATGGACCTGTCGAGTGCAATCTGAAATGGAGCATACCCCGCTTCAGCTTTCCGTGTCTTCGCTGTCGAAACAGCTCCTAAAGTTCCGCACGCGCATCACTGCTGGCATTAAAGGTGATCTTCGCATACATGCTAAGATTGTTTACTTCAATGCCTTCTCCCTGAGTCTCTTTTACTGTGTTCAAACCCACAGGTACTTCGCTCTGTCTCTGCTTCGACCGCTGTATGACAGACTTGCGTTTAGGCCCTCTGCTATCATGCACGCAGTCTCTTTGTTTGGGTGTTTTTTGGAGACAAGGGCGTCGAACGCTCCTCAGTCCTCAACAGTGCAAACGACTCGTACACAAAAACAAGTTCTTCTTTGCTGGAGACATTGGCAACAGCAGCTGGCCCCGGATGAAACGCAACAACTGCTGAGCATCCTTGGACAATCCAACACCTCTGCACGAGTCGAGGCGCTATGTGTGCAGGTTCTGCACAAGTCACCTTGGTCGAGTTAAGAAGGAGTTACTATACAGGTTGCAAACCAAACAGAGGAACAAAACACCCAAAAACCCACCAACCCAGACCAAAAAACACCGAAAAACCAAAGAGAGGGAAGCAACCTGTTGCGCAACTCATGTGGCCGTGTAAGCCGCGAGAGAGAAGGTGAGACAGAGGCGTTGAATTCCGCAAAACTCAGTACTTCTTGTCTCTCAACATTTTTTCCACGAGTGCGGACGCCATGTGGGCGGTGTGCCCAGGTCATCGGAGAAGGATAGGAAACACTACATAATGATGGGAAAAGGACACAAGACCACAACCAAAACCAAACCGCAACCCCAAAAGGCAACCCAAAACCCAAAACGGAATCAAACCGGTAGTGTTTCCTCTGTACTGAGGTGAGACGGGTGAAAAGAGAGTCTGCAAAATTCCTAGGGGCCTGAATTCGCTACGAAAGGCAAAAAACATTTGATCATGGATGTTTGCTTTGGAGGGCCAATCAAATGTGGCCTTTTGCTGTTGGCAATTAGTCGCCCTAGCCACTTTGGTGCGTGGCACTCGGAGTATTTCGACTGTCTACGAAGTGCCAGGAACGGTCATCAGCATACAGACTCCAGCCAGGGAGTCAGAAGTTGCAAGGCATGGCAAGCCGTGGAAAATTCCCTCTTCGTAACACAACCTATCCAACCGATTGCGTATCCGAAGTGCAGTGGCTAATCGTGAGTGTGGCAGTAGAAGACATCGCAACGACAAAACAGCTGACGAGATGTCGCGTCTCTTCCGCAAGGAAGGTAGCATTTGCACCCCCTCTGGCTCCTTCTCGCGTGCCAAGGGGGTATTGGTCATCAGTTGACGTGCATAAAAGACACTCTCTTGCAATGTGTGAAAGAGGTGAAACAGAAGACCTACCCTAGCATGGTACTGTCTTTGTACAAGTGCTTCTTGTCTCTCAACAAACT